GTTAAAATATTTTACATACAAAATATTGACTATAAAATAAGAGGTAAAAAAGAAAATTAGAAACTGAATATTATTCATAAAGTAATAGTAATGGGTTCAAGGAACATATTAAAACATGCACACATGTATAATTAATAAAATCTGTAATAAATGCACAATATAAAAACACAAATAGAAAATGTAAAAAAAAATATTGATCCCATTTTATTAATACACATACATTTTCTTTAATACAGGCAGGGTTATTTTCCAAAGTAAAAATTGTTGGGAGTTGAAAGAGAATTCGAAGTGAATTTCAAATGGCTGCTCCAACCAAAAAAACTGAAATAAATAAATAAATTAGGATAAACTTTTCTATCCCATGTCAAAGTCAATTCCTCTGTCAGCCCAGTCCTCCTTAGGTCACATAGCTCCAGGGTGGCATGGAAGGGGAGGACCTGTGCCACCATTGGTCTTTTGATGCCAGCATGCTGTCTATACAGGGAGTGCAGAATTATTAGGCAAATGAGTATTTTGACCACATCATCCTCTTTATGCATGTTGTCTTACTCCAAGCTGTATAGGCTCGAAAGCCTACTACCAATTAAGCATATTAGGTGATGTGCATCTCTGTAATGAGAAGGGGTGTGGTCTAATGACATCAACACCCTATATCAGGTGTGCATAATTATTAGGCAACTTCCTTTCCTTTGGCAAAATGGGTCAAAAGAAGGACTTGACAGGCTCAGAAAAGTCAAAAATAGTGAGATATCTTGCAGAGGGATGCAGCACTCTTAAAATTGCAAAGCTTCTGAAGCGTGATCATCGAACAATCAAGCGTTTCATTCAAAATAGTCAACAGGGTCGCAAGAAGCGTGTGGAAAAACCAAGGCGCAAAATAACTGCCCATGAACTGAGAAAAGTCAAGCGTGCAGCTGCCACGATGCCACTTGCCACCAGTTTGGCCATATTTCAGAGCTGCAACATCACTGAGTGCCCAAAAGCACAAGGTGTGCAATACTCAGAGACATGGCCAAGGTAAGAAAGGCTGAAAGACGACCACCACTGAACAAGACACACAAGCTGAAACGCCAAGACTGGGCCAAGAAATATCTCAAGACTGATTTTTCTAAGGTTTTATGGACTGATGAAATGAGAGTGAGTCTTGATGGGCTAGATGGATGGGCCCGTGGCTGGATTGGTAAAGGGCAGAGAGCTCCAGTCCGACTCAGACGCCAGCAAGGTGGAGGTGGAGTACTGGTTTGGGCTGGTATCATCAAAGATGAGCTTGTGGGGCCTTTTCGGGTTGAGGATGGAGTCAAGCTCAACTCCCAGTCCTACTGCCAGTTCCTGGAAGACACCTTCTTCAAGCAGTGGTACAGGAAGAAGTCTGCATCCTTCAAGAAAAACATGATTTTCATGCAGGACAATGCTCCATCACACGCGTCCAAGTACTCCACAGCGTGGCTGGCAAGAAAGGGTATAAAAGAAGAAAATCTAATGACATGGCCTCCTTGTTCACCTGATCTGAACCCCATTGAGAACCTGTGGTCCATAATCAAATGTGAGATTTACAAGGAGGGAAAACAGTACACCTCTCTGAACAGTGTCTGGGAGGCTGTGGTTGCTGCTGCACGCAATGTTGATGGTGAACAGATCAAAACACTGACAGAATCCATGGATGGCAGGCTTTTGAGTGTCCTTGCAAAGAAAGGTGGCTATATTGGTCACTGATTTGTTTTTGTTTTGTTTTTGAATGTCAGAAATGTATATTTGTGAATGTTGAGATGTTATATTGGTTTCACTGGTAATAATAAATAATTGAAATGGGTATATATTTGTTTTTTGTTAAGTTGCCTAATAATTATGCACAGTAATAGTCACCTGCACACACAGATATCCCCCTAACATAGCTAAAACTAAAAACAAACTAAAAACTACTTCCAAAAATATTCAGCTTTGATATTAATGAGTTTTTTGGGTTCATTGAGAACATGGTTGTTGTTCAATAATAAAATTAATCCTCAAAAATACAACTTGCCTAATAATTCTGCACTCCCTGTATTTACAACAAATGCCAAATATGCACTCTTGTTCTGGATTGGCTAATGACTTTGCTGGAGGTGGAGTTACACCTCCAGTTTCAATGTGCTATATATCAAACTTAAATACTGCACATACAGACTACAAGCACCAAGATCCCTGTAAATCACTGAATTCATCATAGTACTTGGAGTAACCCTTTAAGGTCAAAAGTCAAGTTTGCATTCAATTTGGCTATTTCTGCATTAAATTAAAAATTCCCATTGGATTCACTTTGACTTTCCTTAATTATTGCTTTACTGAATTAATCTAGCAATGCTATAAATAAAACCATACCTACTAACTATTGCTTAAAACATAAAAATAACAAAAAAAGCATAACATGGTAACAGTAGTTTAAAATATGTGTTTTTTAGAAGGTAACTGTCATGGTAAGGGTGCATAACTCATTATAGCACTAGGGAAAATTGTCCTTTAATGTAATTTGTGTAGTGCATAAATGACCTGCCTAGTTGGTAGAGGTAGTATTGTCAATGTCAAATACTTTCTTGCCAGCCAATTTGATTGTAGGGAAGGTCAGAAGGTTTATAGCCTTAATTTCTCTTTGAAGCTGGGATTCCCACAGAGGTCAGATGACAGAAGGGGTAATGTAAATTGCATAGGAATGTGAAAAGGGAAAGATGGATCCTGTGATTAATCAAAGGCTCTGCAAGGTGTGAGAATCTACACTCAAAAAGCCTGATTGTCTGGCTTTAGCCATATGGCCTGTACTTCATAATTGATGAGTCAAACTCTTTGATATGTTAATGGCCATTAGCCTTGTTCCAGTATCATGTCTAAAAGAAATAACATCAATATTTACCCACAAAATAATAATTAGGCCTCATTTTTGTTATATTTGGAATGTGACAAGCGTCATCTTCTAAACAAGCCCAAACATGTTTGGCATAAATTTACCACAAGGGAAGGGATTGTGATGTCTGCTACATGGGATCGCAAGTAAGGTATGTGGCATATCTAGGTAATTTAAAAATAATAACAATTTTGTAGATGCAATTATTTCTGTGGCAGGTACATAAGAAAAGATAGAACCAAATGTTTCCACTTGGATTGATGTGGGTCTGGACACAAGAGGGTTGTCACTTAGTCTCTCTATAGATACGCCTTAACACCACCTCTGGGTGAGGCGTTGTAATCCAGAGGGTATATCTCTAATGATACTGAACTGTGCATTGTACTTGCTTGGGGCCAAAATCTAATTTTGAGTAAGTCACCATCTTCCTTGCCGGAGACCCCCTGGACAGAAGGTTTACTTTGAAATCTAAGTGAGTAAGTGTTTAGGACTTCTATTATGTTATCCCTTTTGTTTTTTATCTGTTGGCTGTGTAAATAATTTTGATTGTCATCTATATTTTTGTATGCACTGTGACTATTTTTTGCTCATAATAAATATTCCTTTAAAGTTCTGCCTTTGTCTGGTAAAGAATCATTTGGTGGCTTTTTATTATTAAGTTACCTGGGGGACCAAGGCACCCCATTTATAATTTGTCTTGGTGGTGGCAGAGTTAAAAGAGCAATATTTATGTTATTATGCTTAAGTATGGGTGGTGTTAAGGGAGGTGTTGTCATTATTACCGGTCTAATGCAGACAAATAGTAAACTTTAGCCCTTTCACCACCACAACTACGTCACGCACACTCTTGAAGTAGGGTGCGTTTGTGACAGTGACCACATAATTTCTCCAACAATTCACACTTTAGTACATAATCTAGATGTTATCCCTAGTAAATAAAGCTATTCTATTTAACACCGCCTAGTACTCTAGCGGTCTCCAACATCCTGCCCTTCTGGGCAATTTTAGTGATGTCAAGAAGTGCATATTTAAATTTGTTTTCTGTGCAAATACATTTTTATTGCTCTTTATTTCATTGTTTTGATGTTTTAGTTATTTAACTGTAAATTAGAATAACATTTTATTATTAGATTAGGGTATTCCTCGTTTCTGTATTAGAAGATCTCTTTCTGCGACTTATATTTTCCATAGAGTAATCTAAAACATATTACAAATTGATTATTAACTCCAATATCAATCAGTCACTTACATCTTTTAAAGAGAGTAATCTCCACCAAACCATGCAAAATGCATATAGAGTAAACTTAGATTTAAACAAAAATTGTCTCTAAAGAAGAATATATGTGCTGTGTTCTGGTCCAAAATGAAAGAAAGGAGGTGCAAATTGTCCATTATCAATTCCTGAACACATAAATATATGTTTATTGTAGGCAAAGTACCTACAGGCCCTGGTACACCTAAACCTACAGAGCTGGAACCATAACCTTTCACCATGGTGGCTTGGATGCTTCTTTGGAATCCTCATTATCATTGCTAGCATTAACCCTAAGTACAAATTAAACCCATTAAACTGCTACTTTTAGTTATTTTAGACCTTACATTTAAAATGTTAATATATAGCCATTCTTATTCTTTTATATTTTACATTTTTCATTAGTTTCATACCTTTAAAAAAATTGGGGAATTTTTGTTTGGAGTGTATAGCAGAACAATGTCTACAATGGACCACAGTAAGTTACGCTATAAAATGGCTGTTAGCTTCAATCAAAAGGAGAAAATACATCTCTAAGTTTGTAATAGATTGTTCGGCTGGCTTTCAGGATCTTTAATCAATTTTTAACAACAGAAACATTTATTTTCTAAAACTAACTTATGAAAATTTTAGAATAAAAACAAATCACTAAAATGTTTATGTTTGACTTTGTTTCTTTATTTTTCACAAAGAAACCGACTCAATATGAATTTCTTATAACTTGTCAAAGAAGTTAATCGTAACAGTGTGCTCTAGGAAGGAATATTTCCTGGAAAGGTAACCATTTATCCAAGATCCACTTAGATCTAAATCAATATTTTATGCTTTGTACTAATGGTCGCATTAGTTCTAAATGAGTGTTGACTTCACCCAGGGGGCCATCAGTGATTTTCTTGTAAGTGACCACAAATGTTTCTTGAAAAGTTCATAGAGTCTTGTTTCCTAGAAAGAGAGTGTGAGGCCAAAGTGGAGCTAATGAACTCCCAAGTGGGGAACCAGTAGTAGAAAATGCTGATGCAAAAAGTAAGATTCTTGAGAGAAAGATGAAAAAAATGTAAATCATCTGAAGAAGCAAACAATAAAAACTCCAGACTGTCAGATATTATGGGTTGAAACATTTAAGATGATCAATGGCAGTGTGTCTCCATATGATATTATTCTAATGTTTGAAGTATAGTCCCTTTGGGATTTTATGGTAGTTATTACTGTAATTGTAACTGCAGAGGACCTCTTTTGCGATGGTTGTCCATTCATACTATTCTTTGAATTGCAGTATGATCCTACTTTCTGCGGGCTGCAGTACATTCACTAAGGCATTCTGTCCTGACCAACTTGCCCCAGTTTTCAACTTCATTTCTTAGATGTTTCGAAAGCTTGGTAGAACAGTCCACATCTAGCTAGTCTTCTAGTCTCTCAAATCTCCAGAAGAGCAGAGAGAGTTTGCTAAGGAGAAGATCAGTTAAAGGAACTCTATAACATGTAGCATAGTAGAAATAATGTCTAGAAACAAAAGTTGTATCTGATGCACAAAATAAAGGGTGACTGAAAACCT